AATTTTGAATCGATTCGACTCAACTTTTGGCATTGCGTATTATATGGCTAAGACTAAGCCCATATTGAATTTCATGCAATTCAGTTCATAACTAACGGAGATGTAAAAGCTATCGGACATTTCTAACCAAAATTATCGTTCACACGGACAGATAGAGGGACAGACAGGCAAAGGAACAGACGGACAGACCAACAGATAGACGACAGACAACAATACAAAATTATAAATGATCTCTAGGATGGTTAATAAACGGCAAAAGTGTAAAATTATGGAACATGTAAAAAACGGTTTGTTGGTTTTTTTACAATAACTTTTTTAGCAATAAACGCAGAAAAAATTCCTTCCTTGGTGCAAGCCTCGACACCATAACGAACCAAATAGCGAAAAAAGTAGAACAATAGCTCTTAATATAAAGAACTAGTAGCGTCGCAAAACGAGCGGACGGACGGACGGACAAAGTGGCCACAATAGTGCATTTTTTTTTATTTTTGTGGAAATGCGCTCAAAAAGTGGAGGTCAAAATCATAATAATAGTAAGGCTTGGAAAGCATTAAGATAACCCAGTAAAATGGACTTGTGGTACGCTTTTCGAATAATTGCACATTCGTTTATAAAGTTTCATTAACACCGTGAGTACGAAAATATCAACCCCGATCTTTGACCTGGCGAGGATGACGATCATTACATGCTTATTTTGAACGAGTGGTCCACTGTGAACTTCTGTTTCTATTATATCGAGAAAAGGCTACAATTACCAGAGCAAGCTGATCTTGCCTAGGGTAATGTATTTCGCATTGAGAATTTTCTGACTTGAATTTAAAGCAAAGTATTATGGACTCAATTAGCACACTTTGCCCCGATAGGGGAAATTTCAGGACGATCTACATAATCACAGGGGCACAACGTTACAATGTACCTAGCAAAAATCCTCTAAAATTGTTATAAGGTTCTTTGAGGAGACACTCAAAATTGCTCAGAAGGCTACGTTTATGCTCATTTTGATACGTTCTTTCAAATACGCTTAATTTACTGCAAGAAACAATCACGCTGCAGTCTATAAACAATTTTAGGCGAGAATCCTGAAAAGTAAAGGTTTCACATTTCTATCATCCATCAATAAAATCGATCAAGTGCCTAAAAAAGTTATGTGAAAGTGGAAGAGATCTCAGCATCTGCCTCAAATTAGAACAACCACCGGCGCGATTTAGTTTCTTTGTGTAACAAATTACGTAAAAAAAACCAGGCACTTTCCAATCCTTCGGTAAAATATAGGGTGTTCCGCTACGCCACAGGTGGTAATTGTTAAGAATCCACACTTTGGCTTAGTTGGACTGCACGGACCGAATATAGAATGCCATCAGTCCCAATTGGCAGTACGTTTGGAACTGTGGCTGCCTGCGTCTCAGTACACAAATGGCATGTGTCGGAAAAGCCATCTCTATTTGATCATAGATTTGCTTTGACAATGAAAATACCTTTTTGATGCAATGGTGAGAGGAGTGCCGATGTATAGAAGGGAGATATGGGGTAGGACAGAATAGGATGAATTAAAAGAAATCAGAAAGGTCTTTTCAAAAGGAGAGAATACGGGAAAGGATGGAAGATGAACTTACAAAAAGGTGGAGTAACAGAGGGTCACAATCACAAGGCTTAGAAAGCATTACGATGACCCGGTAAATTGACTTGTGGTACGCTTTTCGAATAATTGCACATTCGTTTATAAGGTTTCATTATAACACCGTGAGTACGAAAATATCAACCCCGATCTTTGACCTGGCGAGGATTATGATCATTACATGTTTATTCTGGGACGAGTAGTATTTTCTTTCACTGTCAACTATGTTGGAATTTTCTAGTATATCGAGAAAAAGCTGCAATTTACCAAAGCAAACTGACCTTGTCTAGGGTAATTTATTTCGCATTGAGAATTTGCTGACTTAAATTTAAAGCAAAGTAAAGTATGAGATTTATGGACTCTACTAGCACACCTTGCCCCGATAGGGGAAAATTCAGGACGATCTACGTAATAGCAGAGGCACAACCCTACAATTTACCTAGCAAAAATCCTCTAAAATTTCTATAAGAATCTTTGAGGAGACACTCAAAATTGCCCAGATAGCTACGTTTACGGTCATCTTTATACGTTCTTTCAAATACGCTTAATTTACTGCAAGAAAAAATCACGCTGCAGTGTATAAACAATTTTAGGAGAGAATCCTGAAATGTAAAGGTTTCACATTTCTATCATCCATCAATAAAATCGATCAAGTGCCTAAAAAAGTTATGTGAAAGTGGAAGAGATCTCAGCATCTGCCTCAAATTAGAACAACCACCGGCGCGATTTAGTTTCTTTGTGTAACAAGTTACGTAAAAAAAAACCAGGCACTTTCCAATCCTTCGGTAAAATATAGGGTGTTCCGCTACGCCACAGGTGGTAATTGTTAAGAATCCACACTTTGGCTTAGTTGGACTGCACGGACCGAATATAGAATGCCATCAGTCCCAATTGGCAGTACGTTTGGAACTGTGGCTGCCTGCGTCTCAGTACACAAATGGCATGTGTCGGAAAAGCCATCTCTATTTGATCATAGATTTGCTTTGACATTGAAAATACCTTTTTGATGCAATGGTGAGAGGAGTGCCGATGTATAGAAGGGAGATATGGGGTAGGAAAGAATAGGATGCATTAAAAGAAATCAGAAAGGTCTTTTCAAAAGGAGAGAATACTGGAAAGGATGGAAGATGAACTTACAAAAAGGTGGAGCAGAGGGTCACAATCACAAGGCTTAGACAGCATTACGATGACCCGGTAAATTGACTTGTGGTACGCTTTTCGAATAATTGCACATTCGTTTATAAGGTTTCATTATAACACCGTGAGTACGAAAATATCAACCCCGATCTTTGACCTGGCGAGGATTATGATCATTACATGTTTATTCTGGGACGAGTAGTATTTTCTTTCACTGTCAACTATGTTGGAATTTTCTAGTATATCGAGAAAAAGCTGCAATTACCAAAGCAAACTGACCTTGTCTAGGGTAATTTATTTCGCATTGAGAATTTGCTGACTTGAATTTAAAGCAAAGTAAAGTATGAGATTTATGGACTCTACTAGCACACCTTGCCCCGATAGGGGAAAATTCAGGACGATCTACGTAATAGCAGGGGCACAACCCTACAATTTACCTAGCAAAAATCCTCTAAAATTTTTGTAAGGATCTTTAAGGAGACACTTAAAATTGCTCAGATGGCTACGTTTATGGTCATCTTGAACGTTCTTTCAAATACGCTTAATTTACTGCAAGAAAAAATCACGCTGCGGTGGATAAACAATTTTAGGAGAGAATCCTGAAAAGTAAAGGTTTCACATTTCTATCATCCATCAATAAAATCGATAAAGTGTGTAAAAAAGTTATGTGAAAGTGGAAGAGATCTCAGCACGTGCCTCAAATTAAAACAACCACTGGCGCGATTTAGTTTCTTTGAAAAATAAATTCGAAACACGGCCAAGTTTTGAAGAAAAATGATTGTAACAAAAAAAACTAAGTACTCTCCAATCCTTCGGTAAAATATAGGGTGTTTCGTTTAAAAAAATGTAAGTTACGCCACAGGTGGTCATTGTTAACAATCTACACTTTGGCTCAGCTGGACTGCACGGACCGAATATAGAATCATTTCAGTGTTACTCCAACTTCCAATTGACAGAACGTTTGGAACTGTGGCTGCCTGCAGCTCAGTACACAAATGGCATAAGCCATCTCTATTTGATCATAGATTTGCTTTGACATTGCACCAAGAGAAGTGGCTGAAAGGTAAATACTTAGGCATCATGTTAGACGGAGGACTCAAATCGCGTCTGGAAAAAATAGCGAGCAAAGCCACAAAGTCCCTGGAGAGGCCTACAGGCGAGCGTTCGGGAGCAAGTGGGGTCTATCTACAAAAATGACAATAGGCACTACAGAAATTGGTCGAAAATGCCAGGACAGAACCATTGCAAGATCTTTCTGGAAACCCCAAACGGGATTTAGCATCGTCCATGTTAAAGGTAAGTGGGGAAGGTAAAACTTTCGACAAATATGGTCACAGACCTCAGTAGTTTGAACAAACCCCTGCACAAAATGGGACAGTTCGTAATCCGGGAGTTGTGGTGAGGAAGAAGAAAGACCACACCACGTCATTTGCCAATGTGAATCATACATAAAGGCAAGGGAACGCCTACTTTGAAATAAAAAATATAGACAAGGGGAAGTAATGAGGGTTCTATCAATAGCCTGAATCTTGAAGGGTAGACAATACCGGGAAGCACAATATACCAAAAGGTCTCAGTGCAGGAACCGCTGAGACCATCCCTAACAATAATTAAAAAAATGTCTCACACTGTCTCATAAAAAGGAAATATCAAAGAAGAAAGGAAAGCGTACGTTAACATTTATGATGAGTAATGAAGTTACCAGAGCAGGAAGAACAGGAAGAGATCAATTGCGATTTTTGGAAACCTAGCGCAAATGCGTCAGAATCACGATAGAAACCCTAGGTAAAGGAAGACCAAAGAAAAACGAACAACGTGGAAATACAGAAGCAAATTTTAATAGTTTATGCTTTAAACTAGTAATTAAAACACGTTCGGTGTCTTTTGAAGACCGAGGATTAAAAAATCCGAGCCTAGGCCCACAAGCTTGGTACCGGTAGTAAAATAGGGTGGAACTCTTGCAAATGTTATATAATTATAGAATCAGTTCCTATTGATTATTACGCGTTTTCACTTAAGAAATGCGTGCCTAGAACAATTATCCAAAAAATACGTTAAATTCGCGATGCAGGTTTCTCAATTTTTTTTCCCGCGTGTCATCACAACCTCTATTATTAGTATTAAATAACAATCCCATCTCTTAACCTAGTTTGCTGGCAATCGTGAGAAGGAAACAATTAAGGCGCCGGCATTGAATGCCTACCGGAATTTCACGCAATAAAAAAGCCGATAGTAAAATCAATCCTACCTTAAAATTCATGGCGTTAATCCACACTTTGTCATTAACTTCACATAAAAAAAATTGTATACACGGTACGTCGGTAATGTAGCGGTTTCGTTACAATACCATTGCAATTTATACCTTCGCCCAAAAGTGGGGAAGATGAGCAAATGGGGGGTAGGAGAGGGCTCATCCTCGTGTGGTGTATTAATGTGTCGACCTTCTCGAGATCCTTTCCAACCTTTATGCAACCGAGAAAAAAAGTGCATTCTGCGCTCATCGTGTGCTCTCATCGTAAATTACGTTTAGTCCGGAGCCGCAAGAAATAATTGGACTATTAATAGTAATGGCATCGCGCAATTGGTCCACATTTTTCGAAATGAGGCTTTCCGAAAATTGCGGGGTTAAAATTGAATAACCGTCTTTAGCGTACTGGTCCATTGTTCTTAGCACGTAATTGAAATTTTTCGCGTGTGGTCCCAAGCGGCCTCGTACCATTTTTCTTTGTCTAATAAAAAAGTGCTGCTTTGTACTTTTGGGGAAAAGTATAGACATGCACGTCATTAAAACCCTTCCTCATTAATCCTTAAGGGCACTTAGTATCTGAAATTTGCAGACCCTGTGCGAGGTTTAGGGATTTCTATAATTGGATTTAGGGGTCACTAACAGTTTCCTAAGCCTAGAGGTTTTTAATCCTTAAGGGGTTTTTGGAGACTCCCAAAAACTTCTACCAAAAATGCACCTTTGCGGTTGTCAAAAAACTGAAATACCCCTAACAGCCATTTACAATCCCTTTAGGGCCAAACTTGAAGAGGAGCTTTTATGAATCTTTATGGTTCTCAACTGCCCGGAACTCTAAAGGAGACTCTGAGGGATCCAGATAGAAGAAGATTTTCAAGACCTAAGATCTGTCTAAGTGCTCTGAAATGTTCTTTAAGTAAAACCCTCGAGGGTACTTACGATCCAGCCTCCCCTGTAAGTCCGACGAGAGCGCATTTAAAAGGCTTCAGGAAACCGTAAGGGTTCCACGAACAACAGTACACGAAAATTCTGGGACAGTCGTAAGGAAAGAGATAATGGATATTCTTTCTCTACTACTATTTCTATACTCTTAGCATACTGGGGGGTATTCCCTAACCCCCAGACCCCCCGGTGATACGTTTTTTCCTAACATCGTTTAGTCGTGTTCGTTTGAAATACCCCCCCAGCTCTCAGGAAAGTATTCAATAAATCAACCTTTCCCTGGAGGGGGTTTTCCATAGTCACCAGGTCCCCCGCCGAAATTCTTCAGGCAGGAAAGTCTAAATGCTCAACATTTTCGGGGAGGATGTAACACCGGGGGGTCTGGAATACCTCCCACTACACGAACATCTTAGGATAGTCGCAAGGAAGGAGATATTGGATACCATTTCTCTATGCCTATCCTAGACCCTTTGTATACTGGTGAGGGGGGGGGGGGGTATTCCATACAACCCATGCCCCCCCATCTACAGAACCTACAGCATAATAGATTCTGATGTATGAAAAAAAATGTGCAGAACCTATAAAATCTACATGATCTACAAGATCGGCAGAGTTCACAACAGGATACATAGGCTCTACAGGGTGTGCGTAGTCCACAAAATCTAAAAAACAGAGATCACTAAATACACGAAACCCAATGCATATGTAATCTTAATATAAAGACCCATCTAGTCTATATTGCTTTGTAGAATTTACAGAATTTTCTGGATTGGCAGAATTTACGAAGTTTCCAGATTTTATAGAATTTACAGAATCTACCATGTCTACAGATTTCACCGAATTTATAAATTCTACAGTAATTTCTTAATCTTCTAATTCTACAGTGCTTACAGAAATTATAGAATTTAAGATAGTACAGGGTGTACAAAGTTTACAGAATCCTGAAAATCTGAAAAAGCTACAGAAGGTACAGGAAGTTTATAGACTAGAATAACTGCAGAATGTAATCAAGAAATTTATATTTAGTCGTTTCGTTTTCGTTTCTTTCAGGGAATTTGTTCTATTTCTTTCATTTGTTTTGGAATAAATGTGTCTGTCATTGTCCTTTTCGTTCTCGAGCTAGACGAGGAACAGACGGAAAGACGAACAGAAGGATGAACGGGCAGACCGAGGGACGGACGGAGAGACGGGCGGACCATTACTTGAGGAAAATTTCTTTTGGGATAGCAAGGAAAAAATTATTATGAAAGAAATGTGCTGAGGTCGAAGGGAGGAACGAAATAGGGGAAAGGATGGAAGATGTAACTTAGAAAAGGACTCACGAGGAGATAAGGAGAGGAAAGAAAAAATATGGAGATAATTGTCAAAGGCCCCTTTTCGAAGTATATAGGGCGAATACTGAAGAGCGCTAGGTACCTGTTTTGGGGTGAGAAGCTAAAGTGGAGGGGGGGGGGTGTTTGTTTCCTTTTCCCTACCATCATCATTATTAGCATTATAGCATTTGTATACTCTTCATATGCTGGAGGTATTCCTTTCCTCCAGTAACCCCCTGGGGCTAGGTTATCCCTCAAAACGCCTAGGATAATTTAAAAAATGACACTTTGTTTGGTTAAAAACAGAACGGAGGTCAGGGGGGGTATGGAACACCCCTCAGCACGCGAAGACTTTATGTATATGAATATACACAGACTTTCATGGTGAAGATTGTACGGAAGGAAGATTATCAAATTTTTTTTAGCGAAAGAGGGGGTTTTTATGCCCCCGGACCCCTGGTGCAAACCTTGAGGATTTGAAAAATCTGAAGGATCCAAAGGATGGAAACACAACTGATATAATTAAAGGACGGTAAAAATGGAAAGAAATAAAGAAACAGAGTAATCAATAACCTGCTGGAGAGTGCAACAATTAAAAAAAAATCGAAAAGACCTGGGAATTCCAAGCAAACAGAGGAATTTCAAAACAAGTATTTGACTGCCTTTTTTTGAAACCGTAGAAAAAAATTGTCTGAGATCGACCGGGAAAAAACATTTTCTTATAGAGTTTGGCCCGTAGAATCCATAATTTCAAACAGTTCCAAGATTGGACCACTAGATCAAAAGTTACAGCCCTTTAAACTTTTTTTCGAAATTTGTATTTTTGGTCCATAACCTTTGATTGAGAGGTCTGATCGAAAAAGTACGAATCGTTTTGGATTCTACGCACCAAAATTAGTGAGAAAAAGTGTTTTCCCGAGAAAATTTGGAGCAGTCGATTTTTGGTAAAAAAGGAAGGTAATACACTGCCTTTTTTGAGGCCGTAGAAAAAAATTGTCTGAAATCGACCGGGAAAAAACATTTTCTAATAGAGTTTGGCCCGTAGAATCCATAATTTCAAACAGTTCTAAGATCGGACCACTGGATCAAAAGTTACGGCCCTTTGAACTTTTTCTCGAAATTTGTAATTGTCCATAACTTTTGATTGAGAGGTCTGATCGAAAAAGTACGAATCGTTTTGGATTCTACGCACCAAAATTAGTGAGAAAAAGTGTTTTCCCGAGAAATTTTGGAGCAGTCGATTTTTGGTAAAAAAGGAAGGTAATACACTGCCTTTTTTGAGGCCGTAGAAAAAAATTGTCTGAAATCGACCGGGAAAAAACATTTTCTAATAGAGTTTGGCCCGTAGAATCCATAATTTCAAACAGTTCTAAGATCGGACCACTGGATCAAAAGTTACGGCCCTTTGAACTTTTTCTCGAAATTTGTATTTGGTCCATAACTTTTGATTGAGAGGTCTGATCGAAAAAGTACGATTCGTTTTGGATTCTACGCCCCTAAATTAGTGAGAAAAAGTGTTTTCCCGAGAAATTTTGGAGCAGTCGATTTTTGGTAAAAAAGGAAGGTAATACACTGCCTTTTTTTGAGGCCGTAGAAAAAAATTGTCTGAGATCGACCGGGAAAAAACATTTTCTTATAGAGTTTGGCCCGTAGAATCCATAATTTCAAACAATTCCAAGATTGGACCACTGGATCAAAAGTTACAGCCCTTTGAACTGAATATATATATATACATAAGTATATATACAAGATATACATACATTGCAGAATTTACAGTATACAGTGTGCTTAATCTACACGATACAACATCTAACAAATTAGCCAGAGACATACGGATTTAGTCTACAGAATAGGCATGTTTTACAGAATTTACAAAACGTTCACCAAAGACTTCAATTGGTAACATTTTCGGTATGTACGGGGTCTACAGAATTTAGAGGGTGTACGGAAACTAAAAAACTATGTTTATGCAATTCTAATTCTTAAGGGCTTACAGAATCTACAGACTCTACATAACTGTACAAAATCCACAAAGTTTCAATTATTTACAAGACCTACAGTATCTATCAAATTCTAGTCTAACAAATCTATTGACGCTACGGAAACTACAGAGTTTACAGAATTTATAGAATTTACAGTACAGTACATGATCTACAAAATCTACAGCACTGGTTTAGAAACTGTACAGAACCTACATAATTGAATTGACTTACAGAGAACACAGAATTTATACCATCATAACTTGCAGAATTTAGAGTCTATAGTATTTTTTGAGTTTGCAAAGCCCACCAAATCTACAGTCTTTGCAGTGTCAAACGACCCGTCATAATCGATAGATCCTACAGATCTTGTAGACTGTACATAATGTAGAAAATGTGTAGAAACTATACAATTGGAAGAGTCTATATGATCGACAGAGTCTACATTATCTGCAGGCTACACAGGAGTCTACAATATCTAAAAAATTACAAACAATCTACAAACTCAACAGGATCTACAGAAATCACAGAATCCATCAAATTCAAAGTATAAACAACATATTTATAATTTACAGAACTTACACAATTTACAGAATCTACAGATTTCACCGAATTTTTGGAATCTACCAAATTGCTGAATCTACAGTATCTGCAGTAAGTATCTACAGAATATTTAGAATGGAAATACCGTTCAGGATCGACAAAATTTACAGAGTTTAGAGTTTAGAAGATCTGAACTAAGCTCTGACGCTACAGGGCCCAGCAAAGTCTGTGTCCAAAAACCCTACAGATTTGTAGATTCTACAGGATGCTGAGAATGTGTAGAACCTACAGACTCTACACGATCGACAGAGTTTACATAATTTATAGAACTGCAGCAAATGTAAAGGATTCAACATGTCTGCAAAGCTTACAGAATCCACAGATTTGATAAAACCCAGAGAATATATAAAAGCTTTATAACATAAAGACCTACCGAGTCTACAGAACATGCAGAATTTACAAAATCTACAGAATCCACCGCACTTACAGATTCCACAGTGCATACAAAATTTACAGATTTTACCGAACTTATGGAATCTATAGCATTTTCGGAATCTACTACAAAATCTACAGAATTTACAGAATACGCAATATCTACTGTTTTGGATTCTACGCACCAAAATTAACAAGAAAAAGTGTTTTCCCGAGAAATTTTGGTGTAGTCGATTTTTGGTAAAAAAGGAAGCTTATACACTGCCTTTTTTTGAGTCCCGAAAAGAAAATTGTCTCAGATCGCCCCGGAAAAAAATTTTCGTATAGAATGTGGCCTGTAGAATCCATAATTTCAAACAGTTCCAAGATTGGGCTACTAGTTCAAAAGTTACAGGCCTTTGAATTTTTTTTCGAAATTGGTTTCTAGTCTATAACTTTTGATTGAGAAGTCTGATCGAAAAAGTACGAATTGATTTGGATTCTACGGACCCAAATTAATAAGAAAAAGTGTTTTCCCGAGAAATTTTGGTGTAGTCGATTTTTTGGTAAAAAAAGGAAGGTTATACACTGCCTTTTTTTGAGCCCCGAAAAAAAATTGTCTCAGATCGACCCGGAAAAAAATTTTCTTATAGAATTTGGCCTGTAGAATCCATAATTTCAAAGAGTTCCAAGATTGGGCTACTAGTTCAAAAGTTACAGCGTTTTGAATTTTTTTTCGACATTTGTTTTTTGTCCATAATTTTTTATTGAGAGGTCTAATCGGAAAAGTACGAATTGTTATGGATTCTACGCACCAAAATTAATAAGAAAAATTGTTTCCCCGAGAAATTTTGGAGTAGTCAATTTTTGGTAAAAATAAAAATACTTTACGAAGTATTCGAATACTAAATATTTGTGAAAGTATTTGAGTTACAAAAACAAATACTGCTTCCATAAAAGTACTTAATTACAAAGTATTTGAATACTTTAAAGGTTTTGAATACTAAAAAGTATTTACAAAATCGAATACTGCCCAGCTCTGCTTTAAACCTTCGTGTATTTGAGGTCCTAATTTGGCACATAAATGTAATATATTTAAAAGCTAAATTGTTAAAAAGTAAATAGTTTTTTGATATACCAGGATTTACAAATTTGTTGTAAAAAAGGAGAAAAGCTGACGTGGCAACAAATAAAAGATCCTGTTGGATGCATGTTGTTAATGAGTTATCTAACAATTTACTTTTATTTTCCTTAAGGTTTTATGGTGAAGCTAATGAACTGTTCGGAACAGTTGAACTTAGCAAAAAGATCTTTCATTTGCCGTACCCAGTTGTATCGAGGATCGGAGCTATTTAAAAGAGCGAGCTGTCGCCTATAACAGATGTGAGGAAATCAGACTCTACTCATTGTTAAAAGTTTAATTAACCAGGTTATAGATAGTTTGAAAATAGTAGGTAAATGAAAGGCTTGTTATTCCGAATTCAAAGGCGTACGATACTGTCCGGAGTGTTAGCTGGTAAAAGAAACAACTTTTTAAAGAATTCTATTTGAACGCGTTCAAGCATGTCTAAGTAGCGAATACCCCAAATTGGGGAGTTATTTAGTAGTACTCCAAGTATTAATGAATTATAAAGGGACATTTTTGCCGACCACCTGGTCCTGTTTGATTTAGCACTAATTCCCCTGACCATCCCTGAAGCTTGCTTTGCTTTTAAGATCGTGTCTTCTGCCATTGTTCTGAAAAAAGTTGAAGACGTAAACGAGACTCCTATAAGTAGACATATTTTCTACAAGTTTCAATTTTTTCGTTATGAAAAAAGAAGTTTTGATTAATTGTTTCACTGCCACTTTTCAAGTCTCAACCCTCTGAGGGGTTAACGTTTTGGGTAAAAACATACAACCGGGGGGTCTGGGGGGTATGGAATACTCCCCAGTAAACGAGAATTTTATTCGAAAGAAGGTATGCAAATGGTTTCATGATGAATGTAAAGAAAGGATCGTATAAGTTTCATTGCTGGGGGGGTATTCCGTACCCCCCAGACCCCCCCGGTTGTATGTTTTTGAAATTTGAAGTTTGAAATATTCATTCCGAATGAAGATTTGATAGTATACTTTTCAAGTCTTAACAAGATCTCTGAGGAGTTAATTTTTTGGGTAGAAACATACAACTGGTGGGTTTGGGGGGTATAGTAAATGAGAATTTCATTCGAATGAAAGTATGCAAAGGTTTCCATGGTGAATCTAAGGGAACGATCATAAAAGTTTCATTGGTGGGAATATTACATACCTCCCAGGCCCCTGATTTTCTGTTTGTATCCAAAATGAAAATTTCTGCCCCATAGTAATATAGAAATTCTCGTGTACTGGAGGATATGGTTGGGGGGGGGGGTCTTCCATAGTCATACCCCCATCCCCCGGTTGCATTTATTTATTTATTACTCGTATAATAATGCTTTTTAGGGGTGCCCCTGCAGAAGGTTTTAAGTTGTTCGATACTACTCCGTTATTTACCTTATGAATTGAGAAAACCTAATTCGGAGTAGCCGGTAGAATGCTCAAAACTGATCTAAGGAAATTCCCATCTCTGTCACAGATGAAAAATTCTTACCTCAGTCCTGGTTCGAACACCCGACCTCCGATTATGTATCTCAAAGCTCTACCACTGAGCCACAAGTCAAAAGATCTCTGAAGGATTAACGTTTTGGGTAAAAACATACAACCGGGGGGGCCTGGGGGGTATTGAATACCATCGACTAAACGAGAATTTCATTCGAAATCACAAGTATGCAAATGATTCGCCATGATGACTGTAAGTTAAGGATCGTAAAGGTTTCTTTCCTGGGTATTGATCATCTGGAGTATGATTCATTCTGAGTATGAATGATCCTGAGTGTGAATTGTTATGATATGTGACTCACAATTTTGTTTTTCACGGAATTTTGTGCGCAAATCCAAATGTGTTACAAAAAACCACCGTCGACCCAAGTTGCAGCCTAATTTTTCATAAATTGCAAGTGCAACGGCCCCAAAACATCGAATAATTTGCTTATCATATCCGTAGAGCACTAAAAATTGTCATCACCGGCTCCGTACAGACTGCCCTGATTACGTAAGCGATAATCTTTTTGAGTTTTAAAATATCACCACACCAATTTTAATAGTCATTTAACTGTAGCAATGAAATTTGACTATTAAATTAATCAGTGGCACTTAAATAAGATTACGAGCATTATTTTTAATATCTGATCCATTTACGTTGATTAATAGTTCGAAGAAATATATTGAAACGCAATTATCATCAGTAGCAATCTCAAGTGCTTCATCAAAAGTGCCTGATGATGTGAAATAAGAAAGCAGTAGATTCGTTATCTTCATCAACAGATCGGAATACCCCCCAGGAGATAATAAAAGTTGTCCCTTTCCAGAAAGCAAACTGTTGTGGTAGCTTTCAGCCGGGGTTATTCTATGGCGGGAGTAACTATGACTCTCTTTGTAGAATATTGGCGGTAGCTTAAGGCAATTGAACCGGAGTACTACCGTTAAAGCCTCCTATCGTAGTGGTGCACACGATTGGGTTGGCACGAGTCATAGTTTCGAGCAGCTACCTCCACGTGGTTCCCGCTGGTAACCTTCCTCCTTGTGTGGAAGGGCTAAGTGCTGCCATACCCCCTAAATGAGCATTATTGTTTATGATTTTTTTCTAAGGGATACTCCCAAATTTCCTGGGAGATATACCATAGATGAGAGTTTGAAGGGCTAAACCATTTGAAATCAAACGTAGCACCAGAGGGGGTATGGAATACATTGTTCATTTTCTGAAAGCAAACTGTTGCAGTAGCGTGATCATAGTAAGACTGACATACACAGTTGGTCATAATATTCCAAAGACGCAGCGTGCGTTGCCTATCTCTGGTGATAGAGGGCGCTACGTTCGCCTTTCCCACGGACTAATTGCGTAAACGCTTTTAATCTTACTTACGCATGTAATCTAAAATACCATTATCGTTATCGCAATGCACCTTGAAATTGTATCGATTGCAATTCTCCACGTGACTGCAACTAAAAAACCGTTCAGTAAATACATGCCGCCATTGCACTTTAACAAAAATCGGTTTATCGACAATTTAGTAGCCGTTAACTTTATATTGTAGGACATTACTTATTTATTTCCTTGTATCAATTACATAATCTGACCCGATTATCTGTTTATCTAGGAGTTTCTGTAAATTTACTTTCATTTGAATTATGTCAGCATTTTAGTAGTCGTTAATTAAGTTTTAATTTGTCGATTCTTTTTTTAAAATTATTATTATTATTATTATTATGTTACGACCGAGATAAGATAAGATTCGCGTTTTTATATATTCAGAGAGTCCGTCCCGGCTTATTAGTCGATATCGAGCGCGTTACGATGCCTAGCATTAACGAAATCGTTACGAACGAGAAGCCGTCGATGATGGTGAAGGCGACGAATGTCTTCAAGCAGGTCAATCACGTGTCGCGCGACAAACGCGGGTCGATTTTGGGCCGTTTTCGTGGCTGCACGATTTGGTTCACCGGGCTGTCGGGCGCCGGGAAGACCACCCTCGCGTTCGAGCTGGAGGCGTTCCTGGTTTCGCACGGGATCACCGCGTACAGCTTGGACGGGGATAATGTACGTACGGGGCTGAACAAGAACTTGGGGTTTTCCAAGGAGGATCGCGAGGAGAATATTCGGCGCGTCGGGGAGGTGGCCAGGTTGTTCGCGGACGCTGGCCAGGTGTGCTTGTGCAGTTTCATCTCGCCCTTCCAAAGGGATCGGGAGGTTGTCAGGAGTATACATGTCGAGAATAACTTGCCGTTCTACGAGGTGTTTGTCGATACCCCGCTGGAGGTGTGCGAAAAGCGCGACGTTAAGGGGCTGTATGAGAAAGCGCGGAAAGGGTCGATTAAGGGGTTTACTGGGATAGACCAGCCGTACGAGGTTCCTCAACATCCGGATCTTGTCGTACGGACGGACTGTTCCATTGTGGAAAGTGCCCAACAGGTGATTGCCTTGCTTCAAACGGGGGGGATTATACCATTACATTTGAGGGCAGTTCAGGAACTTAGTGAGCTTTTTGTTGAGAGCGAGTTGCTCGATGCCGCGAAAGAGGAGGCCGGTACAATTCCGTCTTTGGAGATAGGGGAGGTGGACCTGCAGTGGGTGCAAGTGCTGAGTGAAGGATGGGCGACTCCGTTGAAGGGGTTTATGCGCGAAGACCAATTCTTGCAGTGTTTGCATTTTAATGTCATGCTGTCAGAGAATAATTATCTCAACCAAAGTATTCCAATAGTCTTAGCGGTCGACACCGAGGACAAGGAGCGCCTTACGGGCGCGCCCTCAATCGCCTTGGTTCACAACGGGACCTGTTACGCCATCATGCGCCAGCCAGAGTTCTACTATCATCGTAAGGAAGAGCGAATATGCCGACAGTTTGGGATCAACAACCAAAATCACCCTTACATCAAAATGATATACGAGTCAGGAGATTGGTTGGTGGGAGGAGAGCTGGAGGTGCTCGAACGTGTCCGTTGGAAAGACGGCCTGGACGAGTATCGCCTAACCCCTCGCGAGCTGCGAAAGACATTTGAGAAACTGGAAGCGGACGCCGTTTTCGCCTTCCAACTCAGGAACCCGATCCACAACGGACACGCCCTTCTAATGACCGATACGGAGCAGCGCCTCAAAGACCGCGGATACAAACGGCCCGTACTCCTCCTCCACCCGCTCGGCGGCTGGACAAAGGACGACGACGTCCCACTCGCCACCAGAATTCTCCAACACCAAGCGATCCTCGACGACGGTGTCCTAAACAAGCACTCGACAGTCCTGGCCATCTTCCCCAGCGCGATGATGTACGCCGGCCCGACCGAAGTCCAATGGCACGCGAAAGCCCGAATGAACGCCGGCGCCAACTTCTACATCGTCGGCCGCGATCCGGCCGGCGTTCCGCACCCCCTCGGCAAGGCCGGCTCGCCCGACGGCAACCTCTACGACGTCACCCACGGCGCTCGCGTCCTCAAAGTCGCACCCGGCCTCAACGCCGTCGAAATCCTCCCCTTCAAAGTCGCCGCGTACGACACCGAAAACAAGAGGATGGCGTTCTTCGACCCCGCGCGCCAGGACAAATTCGACTTCATCTCCGGCACGAGAATGCGGACGCTGGCGAGAAACGGCGAGGATCCGCCCGAGGGTTTCATGAGTCAGAACGCATGGAAAGTGCTGGCCAATTACTATCAGTCATTAGCGAATAAATTATGAATTGGAACATTGACCCCTGAAGTGCGAACGACGTGTTTGCGCTTTATTATCGGTTGACACAATTTATTTTTCCGTTTTCCTGATAGTCTAATTAAGAAATAATTGTAATTACAAGTATTAGCATAGTGCAAAGTAATGGTGGCGTAATTGGTTCACCGCGAACCTAATATATCTGCGGTTTTACTTCAAAAACATGTTGGTGTAGTGTAGGGGATGAGGTTTCTTGAAAGTAATCATTCTTCCTGCGCTGGGAGCTATTGAATTCCTCCCAAGACCCTCCGGAGCTACTTTCCCCTAAAGTGTTTACAATAATGGGGGTATATGCGCGTATATCCCCAAGAGAAAATAGAAGTTGTTCCTAGCTTTCCATGGAACTGTCGTGATAGATAATCGATTCTGTATAGGTACTCCCCAGATCCTATCCGGTGCTGCGTTCTCCGCCAGAGGGCCTAGAGGGTAGGAAATCCCCCAGGAGCAGATAGAAATTCTCACCAATATCGTGATAGCTTTAAGGAAAAGGCAATCGATTATTTCTGCCTTCCTCTCTCTTTCCCTCTTTTGCTTCATGTACGTTGATAAAGAGGGGACTCCATCCCCACCACTCTTTTTCATACACGAGAGTTCTAAGGGCTGAATTTGCTTGGGGAAGAGGGGTCTTGGGAAAAGGTAACCCATTCTTCCTGTGTGCTCCCAGATTCCCCGCAAAATGTTGAGAATAATTTGCATGCGTACGCTAATTTTCTAGGGAATGCCGTTACATTGGGTTTTGGGAGACACTCCATATATTTCTAAGGATTTAGTGTGTTTGGCTTTGGGGGAGATGTAGCACTGGGTGGCTCTAGGTGGTATGCTATACTCCCCAGGAAAAAAAGAGGAAACCAAAAGCCGGCTTAACCAAATCGGTCGTGCGCTCATTTCAGGAAAACCGTCCTAAAAGTCATCGCTACGACGTAAGGGCTCATCCTCATCCTACAGAGGAGCACAATCGAAAAGTAGATGAAGAACTCCGAAGAATTCTCGAAGTTCCCATTCTTTAGCCAACTATAACTCTCGCCAGGAAAGATTGCCGGTCACAGCACACCTTGTGTCGATCTACAATCTATGTTTTTCTTAAGATGCGAGCGACTTCCAGAATCGGATCGTGCTAATGTTGAATGAAAAAAGTCTTTTTGTTCAACATTGACACGATACTATCCTGGAAGTCGCAGAAAAACATAGATCGTAGATCAGGATCAAGTGTTCTGTGACCGGCAATCTTTCCTGGCGAGAGGTTTAATAAAGATTACCTACATGTCGATATTTCGCACACAAACAATAAATATCATGTAGGACGTCACTTGTGGTGAAATACTTCTACGGTTAGGCAGCACACCTTACATCTGAAATAATAGAACCATGGAAAAAATACGAAACACCCTGTGAAAATTCTTCGACTAAGATCGTTTTGCGCAGATGCCGGAAACAGGGAATTTTTCGCGACGAAGCTTTGCAAAAAAGTTAGCGTCGTTTGACAGATTCCAAGCTGTCTCCAGTAACGTTTTCTCAATGTTTACTTTGATTGTTTTGTTTTGAAGGTCCCACCCTGTATATACAACTTACTACGATGCACACATTTTTGAGAGTTGGCAACCACGTAATTTTTAGGAGGGGAAAGCGATTTGCGCCATCTGGAGAGCACGAACGGTGGTTACGCTTGGCATCTTGTCTTGAATAGCAGTCGTGAACGTGTCGCTCCATAAATGTTTGTTGTTATTTTGTGTTATTTAATGCAGGTAGTAATTTTTGCATTTCTTTATATCGTATTTGTGTTTTGTATGCCGCATTTTATATTTTTTGTGTGTTTCAATCTTTGTTTTTGAAATTTACTTGGTTTCACCGCAATGCATAATCACATGTGTGATACCGTTATGCTATTGTTTGTAATTGTTTACGTTTTTGGTGTAATGCTTGCTTAATTTATGTTTATTGATGTTGATTACGTGGTCTTGTCCCTGAAGTAAGATTCATATAAGCTTTGATCATTTTATTTTAATATGTGGAAATTACCGATTCGTTTGATCTATGTACTGACTTGTTGTTTGTAATTAACAATTTTGTCCGTGAATGAAGTAGTCACGGGGGTGATAAAAACTGTAGTCAAAATTGAGTTACGACACCTAATTCCGTGATTGTCTTCGATTTTCAACTGTCGGCTCGAAACCCCGAAACCAGGGGCGGGTTACCTATCTTGCAGGAGCGGGTTTACGCTAATCAAAGCTCTTCGGTTTAGAATCTATGTGCGATAAATGAGTTACGATTCGTAATTTCCACATATTTCGTTTTTACTTAAATTTGCCTACAAGGCCATGTAATTTTCCATCTTGTTTTTAACAAAAGGACTTTATTGCACCAAAGATGAGTCACATCCTGTGTATTTCACCCTTTCATAGAATCTTGGTACCTGCTTATACCTGACCCATAATTCCCAAAACTTGTATTAACCAATAAGTTACCTCTTGAAGTCTACCTGCTACTTTTTGTGATGTTACAATTTTATGTTACGCATTCACATCATTACAAACAATTAACTTTACAATACAATTTTATATTAATTTGACGGCTGGTTTTTTTATTGGTTATAGGTTCTTTTTTTCCCAGCCTATTTTTATTTTTATTCGGCGAACTACTGTTTTCAAAGTTTATTTTTGTAATGTAATTTAGTTTGGACTTAAATTTCCGAGCTTTTACAATCATAATAACCACGATAATTATTAAACAAACTTTTCACAATTTCAGTGTTTTATTTTACGTTCCTTCCCTACTGTGCTTCAGGTCATAGCGTTGTTTACAACAAACGTAAGGGGGCCTTGTCTTAGATGTTTGATCACGTGCCACTTTTCAAATTTGAGAGGGATCTTGTTTAGTTTTGGAGGGAAGAGTCGTTCGGGTGGCCATTTTTTAAACGTTGCCGGGTTGACTTTATATCCGTGTTCTTGTAGAACCTGGGGGTTAAGTACACTACACACTGAATGCTATTTGTTTATTGAAGCATGGCGTGCTCCAATCTTTTGTTCCTTGAAAATGCACAGGTGGTTATGCCATTATATTGTTTTATTAAGTGTTTATTTATGTATTCACGTGTAAAGTATATTAGCATCAGTGTGATGTTGTTCTGTAAGAGTCGTTTAACCGTGGTAGAATAAGTAGCTCATTACAGTTCCGATTCTTAACTGTATCCTGTTGCTTGCAGTGAGTAAGCAATTCGAAAAAAACATTGCTGCTGTTTAGTAGCGTCATTCAACTTGAACACTGCATTTACACCTGTACCTACTTGTCAGGTTAATGGTAACATTATTAGAAGTTGTCTTATGTCTAATTGTTTAAGTTGTATTTTGTTTATTTTATTTAAAAAAATGGTTTTAACTGCATTTCTTTTTTTCTTTTACATTTTGTGGGGTTGTTGTGTGTGGTTTTTTCATAGGAGCCAAGGAGGTTTGTTTCTCAAGAAACTTCAATATTCGTTTATTTTCATTTGAACATTCAACAAAATTTATATATAACTATGTATAATATTCCAGTCTTTATTGAAACTTTGACTTAACGATATTATATTTAATTGTAATTAACATACTTTTTAAATACGATTTTAATTCGAATAAATAATAAATAAATTACTTCACAATTTTTGCGGCTTTATAAATATTAAAAAATAATCCTTTCTTAGCGTACTATTGACTTTGCGTCTTTGGTACAAAAAAGGTGAACTTCCTAATCAAGAAATACTAATCACTCATAATAATTACATTAGATTTGGCGAAATCATATAATTCTATCGTTAGTAGGATGGAGTGTTACAGGGTGACGATTCTGAACAGGTGGAGCCGTGTCGGTGACTCAGCGAGTACTGTAGCGCCATCGGCGTCAGCCACTCCTTAGGCAGGCATCTTTCCAAGAACGGCACCCAACTGCTGAAGTAGGCGAGTCGATTCACCCAGGCTGGTATGTCTCGACCGCAGAGTATCTGAAAACAAAAGTGTGAGGACTACGGAGACTTAGATGGGCAACATGCAGACTTTATATCGTACTCAAGACTTCAAATTTTTTAACATACATCAATAAATATGCATATGAATGGATAAATCATATTTATACGCATATCGTCCCTTAAACAAACCAAGTCAAATTTATAATAATAATAAGTAAGAATAATAATAATAATAAGAAACATTTGAAGAATATGAAATATTGGAAGAATAATTCAGAGAAACTGAAAAATTCAGAGAATTTAAGGAATATTATGGATCTGAAACATTTGAAAAATCTGAGGAACCAAAAAATTTTTGAAAAATCAAAAAAATTTGGAGTGAAAAATCCTATGGAACTGAAGAATATTAAAGATTTGAAGCAACTGAAATATTGAAATAATTCCGAAAAATGAAGATTTTAGAGAACTTAAAGAATCTTATGGATCATGAAAATTTGAAAGATCTGAGGAACCAAAAAGTGGCATTTCAATCAATAATACGGCAAACTGTTATTAATAACAGCGTACATAGCAAGCACAGACACAAGTATTCTGTATAAAACCGATTGTTTTAGATGTCACTATAATCTTAATGACAGGTAATAATAATTCATTTGTTTTATTTACACAGAATATTTGTTTCTGTGCTATGTCAGACTGCAAATCAAACAGTGGGCGCATGCGCATATCCTAATTCTACTCTATTGCTAATTGCTATGTCTTTCCCTTTACTAGAAGCATCCGTGGCTAAAAAAGTTGACATGCATATGTTAATCGTCAGGATTTTTCTTGCATCATGTGCTAACGCCTATAGCACTTATGTGTACAAATTTTATTGGCATTATTTAAGGGATGATAATATCAATCACAAAAATTGATATAATTAGTGCCTAAACTCCCCTAAACTCAGAATTTACTCCGCAACATGAATATTAAAGTATGAGAACGAAAAAAACCTAAATGTGGCCCCTTTAATCCTTCATTTACTTTCGTGCACGCTCCGGAAAAATGATTACAGTTATTGTTCATTAGATGATATCGGTCTCCTCTAAACTCCTTTCCCAATTCGTTTATAATACGCTTCACGTCGTCCTCGGTGAAATCCGTGTACCCGATTTGTATGGACTGCCTGCAAATGAATTGAGGGGGGAGTACATACGGAAAAATTTGCAACAGGGGCCGTACGTTACCTAAACCGAAACTGTTCGCCTAATTCTTTATCGTCTCTGGGGTCTATTTCGAAAATGCCGGTGAACGGAAATTGGTGGCCGCCGTACGCGTACTCGACGCCGAATATTTCGACGCCCGAATGGAACACTCCAAGGCCTATGTTGGCGGTGTACTCGTTCACTTTGTACATGTCGTAAACGTTGAGGACGACCGGCTCGCGGGCCATTTTGCTCGGCAGTAGTTCATCGGAGCCTGAGTCTCTCGTTACGTTCATACAACTGAAAGGCAAATTACACGCTATACCATTTGAAAACATTGTCAAGCATATGTGGGGGGCCCACGCACAAATGAAAACACACACAAACACAAAGAATCTGTCCGACCGCGATGATTAGTTCGGTGTCTTTAACGTGTAGACCATCACTTTATTTTTGCGAATTCGACATTAAAAATAGAATTACTCCTTGCGTTTTATGAAAAATAAGCAAAATTTCTGCTGTGAAAGGTTAGCTTTTTTGGTGCAAGTCACAGCGCATGCGCCATGCGAGACTGGTATGAATCACAAAGTGCAAGAATAAAGTCGACATGCTCGACTGTGTTCGTGAAGGAAAAACGGCAGGAAATTACCTTATAATTTTGCATCCGAAAACGTTAAACCCCCGTGACATTTTCGAAAAATCTACGTCATCTTGTCAAAACGGCCGATAGTAGATTGTTTAGTAAGTAGGCTGTGACCGACACGATCATTTCCGATTGGTCTACTCGAAGCGAGAGAAGTAAGGTTATGTTCGTTTCCAATTTTGCTGTGTCGCTCCGTTTTTTGATTTGGTGTTGATTGTTCAAAAGTAAAAATGACGACGGGCGAGCAAGACCGTGAGAAAATCCTTCAGGATTACCGCAAGAAGCTGATGGAGCACAAGGAGGTTGAATCTCGACTGAAAGAGAGTAAGAACTGTCGGGGCACTTACATCTTTGTACAGCTACGATTTTAGTGAGAGAGCAACTGAAGGACCTCACCAAGCAGTACGATAAGTCGGAGAACGACCTGAAGGCCCTACAAAGCGTGGGGCAGATCGTCGGGGAGGTTCTGAAGCAGCTAACCGAGGAGAAATGTAACGTCCTTTCTTTGTTTCACGAGTTAACGTCTGCGTTTCAGTCATTGTCAAAGCGACGAACGGGCCACGGTACGTCGTAGGATGCCGTCGTCAACTCGACAAGGCCAAACTAAAGGCGGGCACGCGAGTCGCGCTCGACATGACCACGCTCACGATTATGCGATACCTACCGAGAGAGGTCGACCCCCTCGTCTACAACATGAGCCACGAGGATCCCGGCGATGTCACCTACTCGGCCATCGGCGGTCTATCCGAACAAATCAGGGAGCTGAGAGAGGTCATCGAATTGCCGCTGCTCAATCCGGAGTTGTTCCAACGCGTCGGGATCACGCCGCCGAAAGGTTGCCTGTTGTACGGTCCGCCGGGTACCGGTAAAACGCTACTGGCACGAGCCGTCGCGTCACAACTCGATGCGAATTTTCTCAAGGTGGTATCGAGCGCCATCGTCGATAAGTACATAGGCGAATCGGCGCGCCTCATCCGCGAGATGTTCAACTACGCCAAGGATCATCAGCCGTGCATTATATTCATGGATGAAATCGATGCTATTGGTATGTAGGACCTATGTTCCTTGTATCTCAAAATTTACCCCCAAAAAATGGGGGGGGGGGGGTTATAATACCCCCCCCCCCCCCACCAAGACAATTTCACGTTTAACTTTGCAAGAAATTGTCGCGCTCGCAATATTCCCATTAAAAACGACCTATTCCCTAAAATATTTACTTCCGCCCCTTCCATCTTGGTGTCCTTGAAAATATGCGCGTTCAAGGAAAATTTTACATTTTGCGTTCCTAACAACTGTCACTTGCGAAATATCTGTAGAAAAATTCTCTTGGAATATCCACATCGGGTATAGTCGTCCCCTTCAAATCTGCCCCTCCCCCTCTAAGAATATTCACTCCAATTTTGCCCTCAAAATATTTCACTCCAATTTTGCCCTCAAAATATTTGCTTCCAAAGAAAATGTTCAGATTCGAAATATAATCCTTGGAAAATAATGGCTTCCTGAAAATTCTCCCCCTTGGAATATTCCGACCTGGAAAAAATTGTCGCCCGCGAAATGTTCCCTACAAAAACCCCCTCTCTGTTTCCGAGAATATTTTGATCTAAAGAAAACGCCTCCAACGAAAATTTCACTGTAAGTTTGAGTTCCGCAAATCGCAATATTCTTTACAAAAATGGTCCCTCTTTCTTCGGGAAGATTCGACCCGCAAATTCGCTGTTTTCCCTAAGGAAAAATTCATGTTTTGCGTTCACAAAAACTGTCGCCCTCAAAATATATTCCACGAAAATTTTGCTTTCGGAATATCCACTCCAAATACAATCGCTATCTGCCCCGAAAAAATTCTCACCTGAGAGCATTCTATCCCAGGTATGACCGCTCCGTAAAAATTCTTCCTTCAGAATATTTCACTTGTTTTAATATTTAATAATTATAAATTGTTGCCCTCCGAATATTCCTCATAAAAACCATCCCTATATTAGAATATCCAACCCGGAACTACCGCCCTCACAATTTTCGCTGCTTAGAAAATGTTTCCAAGAAAAATCTGTCCATTTCACAGTAAGGAAAATTCAAAAATCGTCACACTGGATTATGTTTCGAAAAATTCCCCTTCTGAATATTCCCACCTGAAGAAAACGCTTCCAAGGAAATTGGGGTTCTGGAATATTCCCTACAATTTTTCCGCGATCCCTCGCCCTCAGAATATCCTCACACAAAAGAAATACCTTCACTTTTATGTTCACAAAAATCGTCACCCCCCGAAATGTATTGCACGAAAAATTAACTCTCGGAATATCCATTCCGGGTGAAACAAATCATTGAAAATTTTAGTCTAGAAAATATTCTCTTCCCTTGAGCATATTTACCACAAACGCTAGCCCTAGAAATGCTCCCACCCTAAGAAATCGCCAAATCCAAAGAAAATTTTCAGTCTCGAAAAATTCGCTTTCGGAATATCCACCTCAAGCATAATGGCTCCCCGAAAATTCTCCCCCTTAGAATATTCCGACCCGAAGAAAGCGCCTCCATGGATAGATAATTGCACTTCTGCAGTAAATAAATAAAAATTGTCGCCCGCGAAATATTCTGTGAGAATATTCACACCAAAGCTTCAACCCTCAGAATATTTTTACAAAAAAAGCGCGTCGAAGGACAATTTCACTTTTCTGTTCTGAGAATATTCGGAAATTGGACCTATATAAGGAAAATTCACGGTTTACATTTTTTAAAATTGCACTCCCGGATTACCTTGTTTACTACTCCACTACTACTCCAAAATTTCTCTGGAAAACACTTTTTCTTATTAATTTTGGTGCGTAGAATCCAAATCAATTCGTATTTTTTCGATTAGATCTCTCAATCAAAAGTTATGGACTAAATACAATTGTCGAAAAAAAATTCAAAGGGCTGTAACTTTTGATCTAGTAGTCCAATCTTCAAACTGTTTGAAATTATGGATTCTACGGGCCAAATTCTATAAGAAAATGTTTTTTCCCGATCGATCTGAGACAATTTTTTTTTCCGGCCTCAAAAAAACCAAGTGTATAACCTTTTCTTTTCCTGTCTCGAAAAATTCCCTCCTCGGAATATCCCACCCCTTCAAACAAATTCTTCCTCTCGTAATATTCCCATTCGAAGAAAACGCCTCCAAGGCAATTGTGGTCCTGGAATATTCCTTACAATTCTGTTCTGAAAAAATGTTCCCCCTTGAGAATATTTTGATATTCTCAGGGAATAGTTCACAAAAAATTGTCACCCCATGTATATTCACTCCCTTAACACAAAAACTTTGCCCCCCCCCCCACTTTTGGATATTTTACCTCTAGAGAAAAATTGGCCCACTTATCCCCTTAAAAGTGTGGCGCTCTTGTAATATTGAAAAAAAACTCGAATTGCGAAAAATTTTTGATTCGGCTACTAATTTGTAGTGGCCTAATTTCATATTTACGCCCCCCCCCCCTTCCTTGTCGTATGAGCCGTCGTTTCATTACTAAAACTACTCCAGGTGGTCGCCGATTCTCCGAGGGTACGTCGGCGGATCGCGAAATTCAGCGAACGCTAATGGAACTGCTGAACCAGATGGACGGCTTCGATTCGCTGGGCCAAGTGAAGATGATAATGGCGACGAATAGGCCCGACACGCTCGATCCGGCACTCCTACGTCCCGGTCGGCTCGATCGTAAGATCGAGATACCGCTGCCGAACGAACAGGCGCGCTTGGAGATCCTGAAAATTCACGCCGGTCCCATAGCGAAGCACGGCGATATCGACTACGAGGCGGTCGTCAAGCTTTCGGATTCGTTCAATGGAGCGGACTTGAGGTTTGTGACCCTTTTTACCATCATCATCCTCATATGCCCGCCCCGCGTGAAGTTTGCAATAATGCAAAAATGTACAGGGTGTCCTATTAATATAGTTTCAAAAAAACTTGCAAAGTTAATGTCAAATCGCGCCCTCTACCACGCATCACATTTACTAAAAAAACTATACTTATTCATGAAAACCTAAACCGAAGTTACCCACCTTTATTAATTGTACCCACCCTTCATTTTTTATAAGAAAATGGTCCAAAATTCATACAAGATTGCCATTATGCATATTTGTTGGGCGTATTTTAGGAAAAAAAAATCATTTTTTCTACTTAACAACCGTACGCCCTCTCGCGGCAAACATAGAAACCGCCGATTTCTCTTGGTATGTTAACAAAATCTTTTTCTCCAAGCTGTACAAATAACGGTTTCATAGAATATGGCCTGTGACATTTATTAAAGGGACACCCTGTACCCTCTGATCTCAGCAAGTGGTGGTCCGCATTTCCTTGTAATTGGAAATGTGGTGAACATTCTGCATTGAATTACAGAAATGTCTGCACGGAGGCGGGACTGTTTGCGATACGCGCCGAAAGAGAGTACGTCGTCCAGGAGGATTTCATGAAGGCAGTGCGAAAGGTTGCGGACAACAAGAAGTTAGAAAGCAAGTTAGATTATAAGCCGGTATAGTAGCGACTTATAATACTTTTTTTTTTCTATTTAATTTAAAATATAAATAATAAAGATTAACAGAGATGTGTGTGTGTATAACTTGTAGTCAAAATAATTGCAAAAATATTTGATAAAATATCACAATAAAAAATCGCCTGAATGGAATTACAAAAGTAAAATCTACTTTCGCCCGAGAGTGATGCGGCTGTAATTTTAGATTATTTCCCAATCCGAATCCGAAATCGACGACTCTGTGATTTTTCTTTCTTGTTTTGTGGAAACATTCTGCAATTGCCAGTCGTTTGGAATTTTTACGCAGGCTGAAATCATTCATAAAATGACACATGTACTGTTAATTGACAGAAAAAATAGTTCTTCAATGCTCTTGTGAGAGGGCGCTTTCTTATGGAAATCCATGTTTCTGTCAAAATTAGAAAAACACCTCCAGAATTTAAATTTTTATTATTATTATTTTCACTGTCAGTTTCCATAAGTGAGCGCTGTCACAAGTGGAAGCAAGACAGAAGCTGCACTTGGGACTGGGATTGATAGGGTTGTTGCCAATTGATTTCGGGTCAATTGCGATGGTTTCTCTATATACGCTCCAGTAATATATGAACTTTTTTAAATATTAAAGAAAAAAAGGATCATAATTTAATCTAATCCAATTATTTTTAATTTTCTATAAATCCCTAGGAATGTTTAGTTTTCCAAGTCTTCCGATTATTCGAATTTTCCTGTGCCTTGAATCTCCTCTGGTTTTTCACAATCTTTTCTGTCTTAGGACTTCGGATTCTATATTTGTATGATTCTTTGCGATTTTCAGATTTTTCCAATTCATCGGCATATTGGGATTTTGATCCTTCAGATGAAGGCTTTTTATTTATTTAAACAGAAACACCTCCTCGCACATTATATGCTCCTGATTACAGAATTGGAAAATATTTAAATCGAAATAAAGCCTTGAAATAATTCTCAAAGTGATAGAAAAAGACCTCTTCGTGCATTATGTTCTCCTAGTAGAAGGAAATAATTTACATAAGTTTGTCGACAAATAACAGGTGTAGTATTAGTTACAGAAACACCTCCTCGCACATTATATGCTCCTGATACAGAATTGGAAAATATTTAAATCGAAATAAAGCTTTGAAATAATTCTCAATGTGATAGAAAAAGACCTCTTCGTGCATTATATGCTCCTAAAAAGACCTCTTCGTGCATTATATGCTCCTGATACAGAATTGGAAAATATTTAAATCGAAATAAAGCTTTGAAATAATTCTCAATGTGATAGAAAAAGACCTCTTCGTGCATTATATGCTCCTGATACAGAATTGGAAAATATTTAAATCAAAATAAAGCTTTGAAATAAATCTCAAAGTGATAGAAAAAGACCTCTTCGTGCATTATGTTCTCCTAGTAGCAGGAAACAATTTACAAAAGTTTGTCGACAAATAACAGGTGTAGTATTAGGAACAGAAACACCTCCTCGCACATTATAAGCTCACTATGATACCACTCATAGTTCATATGCTGGGGGGTGTTCTAGACGTTCGATGGTGTCTCGAAAACTGTGATGACAATGGTGAGGTAGACGGCTCTTAAGGGACAATGTAGCACCGGAGGGAGGGAGGGGGTATTCCTCACTATGAGATCAGTTGTTGCAATCAAGTTTGCCAGCTTTTTACTTTTACTTCTGGTCGGGGCACTTTTGGTACCACTGGTGCAATTTTCAGTTGTTTACTTCTCCCACCAAGGCCTTTTTTAACGTCCTCTATTTGGCCTTGACGGCACCTTTGTGTTTGTATTTTTGTGGGTGTCGGTTTGGGTTACTCCCACCACCCTCTCTTTTTGTGCTCCTGGGCTGTTACATAACTCTTTGAATATTGCCTTGTTTTCAATACGACGTAGCCCCACCCCGGAATGGTGGGAGTGGGTGGGGAGTTGCTAACAATGAACTATATAAAACTGAGAACTTACCCGGAACGCCGGCCTCGACTGACGTATAATTACTAGATGGTAAAGGTGGACCGTATCCGACTTCTGAATTCGTTGCGACAGGCGTCACGATGCGATTATCGTACGATTCGCTCTTAAATGACGCGTTAGACGATTCGTTCGAGCTACACGATTTCGTCGAGATTTCCAGTTGCACGTTCTCGGGCTCGGCGGACATTTCGACCGTGCCGAAGCACAGCACGTCGGCGAGCAGCTTCTCCTTGCTCTCGATGTCGTTCTTGATGCTCTCCGGACTGCGAAGGTCGGGCAAGATGTTCACCGTACTCTCGGTCATGATCGTCGGCTTCGAGACGTGACCGCCGTCGTGCTCGTCGGAACTGTTCGAGCTCCAGCTCGCGACGCTCTGCGCCTTCTTCGGCCGTCTCGTCTTGTACAGGATGTCGTCGTCGAAATTCTGATTCGAGATCTTGTCGTAGATCTGCAACTTTTTGTAGCTCTCGTTCGGCTTCGGCCGTCTTCGTGGCGATTCGGTCGCCTCCTCCGCGTTTATCACCGACGTCGAGTCCGTGTGAATGTTGAGATCGCCGCCGAACGTCATTTCGATGAAAGGCGGAATCGCCGAAATTATGCTGCTCGTTTGTATTTTATGCGTTAGGTCTTTTATCGAGGTCGAAATCGGGCGAAAATTGGAAGCCGTCGGAATGGGAGGAGTCATATCTGAAATGGTCCTCTATCTAAGTACGCGCAAGGAAAAAATGTGCCAGTCATGCGAAATTAAAAGAAAATGCAATTTTAAATTTTAAGATGGCAGTTACGCCCTCTGCTGGTTATTTTTAGAACTTGAAAATATTTTCCAAGGATTCTTCGTGACCGATTTACCCAATAATTTTTTTTACCCCTAAGTCATATGACGAACGGTTCTCGAGATATGGTCGAGGAACAGTCTTATTGGGTCACCCGGTACATTCGCAAAATTTTAATGAAATCATAGTAACCGTGTCGGCGAAAAATAAATGTTTAGTTTTTTAACTTTTGACATTTTTTTTCTCAGTTTTTTTGTAATAAAACCTGGCACAATTTTTGTAGGTTGTACACAGAAAAATAAGGTCTTTCGAATAACGTAATAAAAATGTTAAGTGGCAATTTGAAAAAAAAAAGTTCGATTCCCGTTGTCCAAAATTTTTTTCAAAAATCCGACCCGTTATTTTCCTGTTCCGTATGCCGTATCCGTCCAACCGTTTTCTCGGAAAATTGCCAACATACGTACGCACCGGGTGATCCAATGGCCCTCTGGTGGTCATTTTTAGAACTTGAAAATATTTTCCAGCGATTCTTCATGACCGATTTACCCAATAATTTTTTTATCCCTAAGTCATACGACGAACGGTTCCCGAGATATGGCCGAGGAACAGTCTTATTGGGTCACCCGGTACATAGACGGAAAAAATTTTTATTCTTTAAAAGTTGGTTAAAATGATCTAAAACGTCGCTCCCGCTAGGTAGCTAATAAAAAGGGGTACTCACCATAGATCGGCTCCGGATTTTCGGATATCCGAATTAAGCTCCGTTCGCCTTCGAGGATAAAAATTTCGTCTTTACACACTGCGACGCCCAATACGCTAAAATTGACATAAAGAACGCGGATAGGACAGACAATCGGGAGCTTACCCTCGCAGGTTGCTAATCATTGCGTCAACCGTGAGCTCTTTCGGATTGAGCACGTACACAACGTCATTATTGTAAGTGACCAATAGGTGATCTTGGAAGGGAAGAACGACTCCGAAAGACGCCTCCTTTTGAGGTAGTAGTTTTCTAAGGCTTTTCGAGACGGGATTTATGAGTTGCGCCTCCGAACTCCTTTGGTTTAGTATGTCCTATGGTCAATTACTATAGTAACTCAAGGCGGTTTAGCAAAATACCTTAAATAGTAACGTCTGTTGCACGCAGCCTTCGATGTCCGATACCCATATGCGTAAACCGGGCCTGGTGCAGTACAACACGACGTCGTTTGAACGTAAACTATTCTGGTGAAATATTCCACCAAAGTTACCTAGTCTGTAATATGCGCAATTAAAACAAAATACTATGATGAAAATGTATTTTTGCAAACATACTGTATAGTCCTCGTAACCGTGAGTGTCTTTAACCATATTGTAACGAACATTCCATAGACATAAACGTGAACTATGACGTGTTTGTTAGAGAAAATTCTAGAAAGGCTCGGAAGTGTCCGGAAGCGTTCAACAACTATCGAGAAAGAGGGGGATTTGCTGTATAAGCAAATCGAATTATGATTCAGGTCAGTTCCACTTTCAACGCCGAAGTAATAAATACTTCGTTCCGTTATATTCTGTGTATTCGTTCACCTTGTGTCTTGTATGCCGCATTTCATATTTTTTGTGTGTTTCAATCTTTGATTTTGAAATTTACTTCATTTAACCGCAATGCAGAATGACATATTAAATACCGTTATGCTATTGTTTGTAATTGTTTACGTTTTTGGTGTAATGCTTGCTCAATTTATGTTTATTGATGTTGATTACTTGGTTTTGTCCGTGAAGTAACATTCATATATAGTCTTAACCATTTTATTTTAATATGTGGAAATTACCGATTCGTTTGATGTATGTACCAACTTGTTGTTTGTAACTAACAATTTTCTCCGCGAATGAAGCAGTCACGGGGATGGTAAAAAACTAATCAAATTGAGTTACGACACCTAATCCCGTGATTGTCTTCGACATTCAACTGTAGGCTCGAAACCCCGAACGAGGGGCGACGCTACCTATCTTGCGGGCGCGAGATTTCGCGAATCAAAGCTCTTCAGTTTAGAATCTATGTGCGATAAATGAGTGGCGATTCAATAATTTCCACATATCTTGTTTTTAGTTAAATTTGCCTACAAGGCCATGTAATTTTCTATCTTGCTTTTAACAAAATGACTTTATTGCACCAAATTTGAGTCACATGCTGTGTATTTTACCCTTTCTTAGAATCTTGGTACCGGCTTACCTGACCCGTAATTCCCAAAACTTGTTTTTAACCTAAATATTACCTCTTGAAGTTTACCTGCTTCTTTTTGTGATGTTATAAATTTATGTTACGCATTCACATCATTACAAACAATTAATTTTACAACACAATTTGATATTAATTTCACGGCTGGTTTTTTTATTGGTACGTCCTTTTTTTCCCAGCCTATTTCTATTTTTATTCGGTGAACTACCATTTTCAAAGTTTATTTTTGCAATGTAATTTATTTTGGACTTAAATTTCCGAGCTTTTACAATCATAATAATAACGATAATTACAAACTTTTCACAATTTCAGTGTTTTATTTAACATTCCTTCCCTACTGTGCTTCAGTTCAGAGCGTTGTCTACAACTAACGTAAGGGGGACCTGCCTTAGATCGATAAATACTTACGCTTACGAATTCAACAACCTCGTATCCCTTGCATTTTATCATATGACTTACGCTTTCCTATCCTTTTTCCCAACCTGGGACACCTTCCACTTGTTCTCCTTCTTGCACACGATCGATCGGTACATCGTCGACACCAGCAAGTTTTGATGATGATAGCTAAGCTGCACGACCTCGTACGACTCGTTTAAAATTTCGATCGACTTACATAAATGCTGCAAGCGGGGGAGCCGTGACGAAAACATTTCCTCATCTAACACTCACCCACCATGTAAAAATCTATCTCGGTCAGCACGATATGGCCGAGCTTGTCGCCGGAAAACAGCTTCATGCCGTTTTTCGTCCATTGCAACGCCGTAATCGGCGCGCTGTGCAGATCTGAGACTGTGTACCTTTCGATTTGCTTATTCTTCGGGCGTAAGTTCTCGGGTAAGGATTCGTGATGCGACTTAGGTACTTGGAAAATGCTTATACTCCCGTCTTGGTTACCGCAAGCGACCATGTAGTCGACTGTCGATATTACCTTGAGTGTCGTGACGGGAATGCTCGTGTTCTGAAAGTCGGATCGTTAAATCTTCGGTATCGTGTCGTACGCCGTTACCTCGCATCGTAACTTTTGCAAGTCCTTCGTTCTACGATTGTACCAGTAAACGAGACCGAAATTTGTGCCCAAAGCTATGAAGTCTGTTAGAACGTCGACACATGTTAGCTTAATGTCGTAGGTAAATATGCCACTTTGTGCTTTCGATGGCAAGCGATTGAATAAATCGGCAAGGGGGGCCCACTCTCTTAGAATCATTTTTTCAACGTCTGTCTCTCATCTTTTGCTAAAAGAGGCAAGATCGAGAAATTTTATATAAATAATGCGTTTATAACCCTACTTTTATACGTCAAAACAAAGGGAAAGGATATGCAGTGTTGCCTCGATTTCAAGGTAAGAACGTAAAATCATTGTTTATTCATGGTAAAATATATTTATGTACAGGAGAGAAGAATCCAAAACTCGAATAAACTTAAGAATCCAAAGAAAACCTACAAGTTTATTGTTGTTTACATTGTCTACAGTTAAAAGTATTTAGGGCCATCCTGTACACACACAAAAATCTATGCTGCCCTCTGCCAAACTAGATTTTTGCACATAACCTCAACCGACAATGGAAGGTAAACATTCAAATTGAGAAACATTTTTAACATTAAATTTGTAGATTCATTATGGCTCGAACTGATGATTTTGTGCCTCTCTCTAATATGTTTGCGCTTCTTTTATCTCGTACACAAAGTAACCACTTCATCGGCAACATTTCCGTCGGCAAAACGTAGACTACCTGCAAAAACCGTAATATGTATCGGTTCCGGGGGCCACACAACCGAAATGCTCGAGCTGGTGAAACAGTTGGACACCGAGAGGTACACGCCGCGCCATTACATCCTTGCGAACAGCGACACGACCAGTCTAGGCAAAGTACAATCGCTCGAAACCTCTCGCGACCATCGCATAGTCGCGATACCGAGAAGTCGATCCGTCGGTCAATCCTACTTTACGTCGGTCGTTACGACCGCGTACTCGACGCTGTACAGCGTTCCGATACTCGCGAGGATACGGCCCGATCTGTTGCTCTGCAATGGTCCGGGCACCTGCGTTCCTCTCTGCGTCGTGGCGTTCGTGCTCAAGGCGGCGTTCGTGTGCGATACGAAAATCGTTTTCGTCGAGAGCTTCTGCCGAACCAAGACCTTTTCTCTGAGCGGTAGAATTCTGTTCTATTTGGCCGATCATATACTCGTGCAGTGGCCTTTGCTTAAAAGTAGATGTAGGCGGGCCGATTATGTGGGACAGCTGCTGTAATTATAGTCGTTAATTTAGGTCATCAGTTGTAGATAAAGTGTGGGGGGGGGGGGCAAGTGGATTTGAAGCCACATTTGCGACTTTGGGATATTTATTTTAATGGAGTTATGTATGTATGTGATGTGACTTATCCACCCCCTCCCCATGTCCAAAGATGGGGGGGGGGGGGTAGAGGGGGATATAGTAATGAAGGCATTATATTATTATTCTGAGAGGTGGTCCCCTATCAGAAAACTGTGCCACGACCTAAGACCTATTGTACCCTCTAGTCTCACATTCCTCAGGATGTCAATATCCTTGAGGAAATCTTCTGGGGGCATCTTCATCCCTCTAAGAAACCTGAGTTGTTTCTTCCCCCTTTCGACCTCTGAAATGTGGGTCTACTTTTGAGGCCATATTGTGGAAGGATCTTTTCATTTGACAATGATTCATTAGGAGAGCTGTTTCAAGATATTGTAACGTACATTTAATTACATGATTTATTTGTGTATGTATGAATTATGTTCACAGAAACAAAGACTATTAATGATAAACTATACTTATAATGGTTCTTAAATAGATTGACAATTCATTATTTATCACTTCGACATCGATGTTAAGACTGCGACTAAACACAATTCAACTTGTTTATATAGTACACAATAAACCTAGGAAAGGCATATAAGCTTCGTACCTTTTTCACATTCACATTTCTTGCTTCAAGCGTCAATTTTAAGCGTCTCGGGGTGCAAGTTTCCTCTTAAAATTCAAGCTTGATACCTTCGAGCCTTTATTTTTGAAACTTGAATTTCGGAATTCACATTTCTTGCTTTAAGCGTCAATTTTTGATCATGAGCACTTTTCGAAATTTTCGCCTAGTTTAGGTTTTGTCCATCCGTCCGTCCGCCACTTCTGCTGTTTCGAACTACTTCTAGGGGAATAGTTCTAGAGTCCTGGATTTTTTTTGCAGCAGGTAGCCTGCACCTTGAAGGTGTGCCAGACGGCCAATCAAATTTCGCTGTCAAGAAGCCCCCCCCCCCACGAATTATTTCCTGTGATGCTGTTTTTGAAAGTAAAAACGTGCATAACTTCTACATACGACAACCAATTGGTCTCAGATTTTACATGCGCATGTCTTTAGTGATGTCAAGTTAAACTTTAGAAAATGGGGGGGGGGATAAACACATTTTCTACACTTCATGGTATTCTAATGAAAGGTTTCATCGAAATAAATTGGTTTGTACAAACTACAACTTTCCCGTGCGACTCTTTTTCCAGATCAGTAAGCGACGGGGCCTGAGGGGCGGGCGAGGGGGAGGGGGTTAAAATTAATGTTATCTCTCATTGTACTCTAATTAAAGGTCTCAACAAAAGGAACCGTTTTCTACCAACGACTGCCCTTCTTTCTCTCCTCTTATCAAAGTACGGGGAGGAGGGGCAGTGGGGGGAGTGGAACTAGTTTTATCCTTCATGGTACTCTAATGAAAGGTCTCAACGAAAGGAATTAATTTCTACCAACCATAGCCCTCCTCCTCGACCTCTTATCGTGATCGGGAGCGAACATACCATCGCCAAATAAATTTTGAATTACACTGGACTATTTCAAATTACAGTAAATTGCGCAAAAGGCCAAAGCCAATCAATATAAGAACAATTAAAAGTAAAACGTGGGAGCCCTACATATTTTCTTTGTAATTATACAATTATCGGTAGGTATCTAATTAGGTGGTAATTATCTCCTTGCGAGCCTCTTCAAGGGACGTCGGCTATCAGTCGCATTGTCTCACAAGCTGTAAAGCATGAAGGTTCCCCTACATGTTGTACGTGACGGCGTTAAGTGGTTGATGTTGCCAACAAAAGTGCTGGCACAGACCGTATCAGCATGGCCCGAAGATACCAACTGTTTCACGATCACTTTCAACTGTTTCGTGTTGATGAGTTATTTCTTATTTATCTACGGAAATATTTATTATATAATGCGGGATGATGTCGGCTTAAGCGACGCTTGTATTGCACTCAGTAAACTTTCTCTTATGCTGGAGGTGGGTAACGTTCATCGACTTTACATGAGCGGTTCCTCGATTAACTTCATCATTTCAGACTACAATCAGAAGAATATTTAATCTCTACCAAAAACGTCGCCTGTTAAAAGTCCTAAACGCCGTTTTCCACGAGTTTGACGCATCGGACGTGGAGGGACCCGACGTCGATTTGGAGTTAAGGAAAGAGTCAAAGCGGCTGTTTATATTTTGCGCCTTTTACATTGCATCCGCCCTGATATGCGGAATGCAGTACATTTCGACGACGATCATGTCGGGGAACGTGCCAATGTTCACCTCTTTGCCGTACTCGATCAACGATAATCCCCTGTACTTCGGCATTTTTTACTGTTGGCAAAGCTTTTTCATATTCGAAGTCGCGGTGCATATATGCACCACCGACATATTTTTCGCCTGTCTGCTGCACAATTGCATAGCGCAATTTAAGTTGTTGCGCGTTCGAATGTTAAACAAGTTTGAGGCAGCGCCCGACAAGATGTTGTTCGTGGCGAAGTTTGTTCGACAACACCAGCACTTGATCGAGTAGGTATAGTATCTGGGATGTTGTTTTGAAACAGTTTTCCAGGGTGTGCCAGGAACTCAACAGCATCTTCTCCTTCTTCATTCTGCTGCAATCGATAATTTTAACTGGAGCGCTCTGCCTGAGTATGTTTATTGCGGTAGGTGACGTCATTGCACATTGTTGCCGAGTGACGTAACTCTTTTAGACGGCGATACCGGAGCTGGTGGTGAGCGCGTTTACGGACGTCACTGGTCATCTCTGCCTATTGTTGCTTTACTGCTACGTCGGCAACGAACTATCAATACACGTATACGCCCTCACGAACTCGTGGTCTGTTACAAGAACGCCAATTTTTCAGGCCTTGGAACTATCGGACGCGGTCTACTTGAACGGATGGCATCTGTGCGAAACGGACATTCCCACAATGAAAGCCGTCGCGTTTATGATGGTCAGATGCCAAAAGGTTGTCACAGTGTCAGCGGGGGGATTTGGTAATTTGACCTTAACCAACTTTATGAAGGTAACGCGACGATGCGTCTGAGGGCTAGCTCTTAAAAACGTATTTTCTGCTAGACCTTGAAGTTCGCCTTCTCCGTGTATACGTTATTAAACGCCATGTTGGAAAAGCAAAAGGCGGCGATCTGATTGGATACTTTCAAAAACTTTGTCTTGTAGATTATAGCATATAGCGCGTCTGTTATTTGTTGACAATGTGTCCAAATATAAATGCATATCTATTTCACTTTGGTAGAACGATTTCACAGGTTTAGAATCAGTAACGCGGTGGGCTGGACACTACATGAAAACTTTATCCGGGCTGCACAATGGGTTTGTATAAAAATACACACAATTAATTGATTGACAATGGCAAAAGTTTATTCTGAAACACGTTAAACAAAATTTCTGAAAAAACATAATAAATCTCAACTAAGCTTCTTTTAGAAAACTTTACAATGAGCAAGACCGACTGTCGATTGTCATACACAACGCGCACCTAAACAAAAAGCAACGAATATCGTCCACTGAGTTTCGGGAAAAGGTCCATTCTTCCTGTGCAGGTGGGGAGTATTCTATACCCCCCAGAGCTACGTTCCCCGAAAAAGTTTAAAGTAATGAGCATGCTTATGATTAGCTTGTAGGGTTAAAGGTTCTTTTCCTGAGAGATATTCCATACAAGGGTTTTGATGGATAAACGTTGTAGAAGCATCGCTGGGTCTGGGGGAGCAAATGCAACTTGTGCTTTTCCAGAAAACAACTGACGTGGTAGCATTCGGACGTCCACCACCAAAAAAGCCTCCATTTACGTCTTCCTCTGCTATTTGAAACATTGTTGGTGGTTGTGCTGGTGTTTTTAATTTTGTTTCCTTTATTGGGCGTTCACCGCTTTTCTCACTACTTTAAGTGTATAATTTAAAAGTTAACAATCTTGTACTTAATGCATAATTATTATCTTATTAATATCTTAACTAAGTATATTGAACATAAATCTAACTTTAAATGATTCCAATCCAACATGGGTGGAAAAGTTGTATTTGTTATTTGTCTCATATTCGACATTTAAAACCTTTAAAATTGATGTCTTAAAAAGTGTCGTTTTAAGTAGTGTTTGTTATTTGTCTTGTAATCACAAGTAGTGCATTTAAAATCTTTAGAATCCGTATGTTTTAAAAGGTGTCGTTTAAAGTTCTTTTTGTAATTTGTCTCAAATTTACATTTAGCACATTTAAAATCTTTAGAATTACTATGTTTTAAAAGGTGGTTTTTAAAGTGGTATTTGATATTCGTCTTGTAATCACAATTGGCACATTTGAAATCTTTAGAATCCACATGTTTTAATTGATGTCGTTGAAAGTATCGTTTGTTATTTGTCTCGTAATCGCAATTAGCACATTTGAAATCTTTAGAAGCTGTATGGTTTAAAAGATGCTGTTTAAGACATCGTTTATTATTTGTTCCATAATTACAATTAGCACAATTAAAATTTTTAGACACGTCATGTTTTAAGACGTGTAGTTTAAAGCATTGTTTGTCATTTGTCTGGTAATCACAGTAAGTACATTTAAAATCTTTAGAATCGGTATGTTTTAAAAGGTGTCGTTTAAAGGAGTGTTTATAATGCGTTTGGTAATCACAATGAGCACATTTTAAATCTTTAGAATCACTATGACATAAATGGTGTCGTTTAAAGTGGTATTTATTATTTGTTTGGTAATCACAATTAGTACATTTCAAGTCTTTAGAATCAGTATGTTTTAAAAGGTGTCGTTTAAAGGAGTATTTATCATTTGTTTGATAATCACAATGAGCACATTTAAATTCTTTAGAATCATTATGACATAAGTAGTGTCGTTTAAAGTTGTATTTATCATTTGTTTGGTAATCACAATGGGCACACTTAAACTCTTTAGAATCGGTATGTTTTAAAATGTGTCGTTTAAAGCAGTATTTATCATTTGTTTGGTAATCACAATGAGCACATCTAAAATCTCTAGAATCGGTATGATTTAAAAGATGTCGTTTAAAGTATTGCGTGTTGTTTGTCTCGTAATCACAATTAGCACATTTGAAATCTTTAGACTCCGTATGTTTTAAAACGTGCTGTTTAAGATACTGTTTATTATTTGTTCCATAATCACAATTAGCACAATTAAAATCTTTGGAGACTTTATGTTTTAAAAGGTGTAGCTTAAAGCATTGTTTGTTATTTGTCTCGTAATCACAATGGGTACATTTAAAATCTTTAGCAGCATGACATAATTGGTGCCGTTTCAAGTTGTATTTATCATTTGTTTGGTAATCACAACGAGCACATTTTAAGTCTTTAGAATCGGTATGTTTTAAAAGGTGGTGTCGTTTAAAACAGAATTTATCATTTGTTTGGTATTCACAATGAGCACATTTCAAATCTTTAGAATTTGTATGTTTTAAAAAATGGCGTTTAAAGTACTGTTTGTTGTTTGTCTCGTAATCACAATGAGCACATTTGAAATCTTTAGACTCCATATGTTTTAAAAGGTGCTGTTTCAGATACTGTTTATTATTGGTTCCATAATCACAATTAGCACAATTAAAATCTTTAGAGACTTTATGGTTTAAAAGGTGTAGTTTAAAGCATTGCTTGTTATTTGTCTCGTAATCACAATGAGTACATTTAAAATCTTTAGAATCGTGACATAAATGGTGTCGTTTAAAGCAGTATTTATCATGTGTTTGGTAATCACACTGAGCACATTTGAAATCCCTAGGATTGGTACGTTTTAAAAGGTGGTGTTTAAGATACCGTCTATGCTTTGTTCCATAATTACAATGAGCACAGTTCAAGTCTTCAGAGACATTATTCTTTAAAAGATGTTTCACTTGCAGTTTACAATTTGGTGTGTGATGATCGAAACCACAAACAGAATCGGTGGAAATTTGAGTTTTAATATCCCATGCATCCGTTTGTTGTACTTTATTATCGAACGATTGGGGGCACTGTACAGTAATGGTAATTTCGTCCTTTATTGTAACCAATGCTTCGTTGCTTGTTAAAATGTGTTCTTGAAGATCAGAATGGATTTCTTCTTCTTGTTTTGATTCGATTTTAATGACTGGTACTGTATCATTTCCGTCCATATCTGGCAGCAATAGCGTTATCAAGAAGTTTTTGTTTATAAAAAATGATATTTGGTATTAAACAATTCAGAAATGTCTTACTGGCACTAAAATAGCTCGGACCAAAGCTCTGGCTGTGGCTCAAGTACCGGTAACGGTCAAGAGAAAGTTCTTCCATAGTCTAAAGGTGGGTTCATAGCTCTCCGTTCATACATTTCCGTTTGTCCGTTAGCCAATCAGCATACAGTAAATTTTTAAACCATACGTCGTCCATTTACAACGGAAAAGTTGGTTGAAGTTGAACATTTACGTTTCCGTTGGTCCGTTTTTTAACAAGAGGAAGGTTGTGTTTGGCGCGCGTCTGTTGGTCGCAAACACGGGGATACTTTACGGTGTAAAATAAAACCTATCGTTCCGCCACTGCAAGTGAAACCAGAAAGTTGAGACTTACTGGTACTTGAGCTACCGCCAGTTGAGAAATTGGTGTTAAAACAAAAACATTTCTTGAGCGATATGGACGAGGATGATGTACCACTCATTAAAATTGAACCAAAACAAGAAGAAGAAATCAATTACGATCAAGGAACCATTTTAGTAAGCAATGAAGCATTGGTTACAATAAAAGACGAAAATACCATCACTACACCGTGCCCCAAATCGGTGAATAATGAAGAAGTACAACAACAAATTGATGATGTATGGAATATTAAAACTCAAATTTCCAATGATTCTGTATATGATTTCGATCGTCACACAACAAATCGTAAACTGCAAGTTAAACGACATTTTTTAAACCATAATGTTTCTGAAGACTTTAACTGTGCTCATTGTGATTATGGAACGAAGTATAAACTTTATCTTAAACGACACCTTTTAAAACATATCGATCCTAAACAGTTTAAATGTACTAATTGTGATTACGAGACAAATAACAAACAATACTTTAAACTACACTTTGTGAAACACAAAGTGTCTAAAGATTTTAATTGTGCCACTTGTGATTACAGAACAAATAGTAAACGATATTTTAAACTACACCTTTTAAAACATACCGATTTCAAAGATTTGAAATGTGGTTATTGTGATTATGAGACAAATAACAAACTATACTTTAAACGGCATCTTTTAAAACATACCAATTCCAAAGATTTTAAATGTGCTAATTGTGATTACCAAACAAATCAGAAAAACAACTTTAAAAAACACCTTTTAAAGCATACCGATTCTAAAGATTTGAAATGTGCTCATTGTGATTACCAAACAAATGATAAATACTACTTTAAACGACACTGTTTATGTCATACTGATTCTAAAGACTTGAAGTGTGCACATTGTGATTATCAAACAAATGATAAATACTGCTTTAAACGACACATTTTAAAACACACCGATTCTAAAGATTTTAAATGCACTCATTGTGATTACGAGACATATAACAAACAATGCTTAAAACTACACCTTTTAAACCATAAAGTGTCTAGAAATTTTAATTGTGCTAATTGTGATTACGGAACAAATAATAAACAACATTTTAAACAACACCTTTTACAACATAGAGATTCTAAAGATTTCAAATGTGCTAATTGTGATTACGAGACAAACATCAAGTACCACTTAAAAAACCACCTATTAAAACATACTGATCTTAAACATTTTAAATGTGCTAAATGTAAATACGAGACAAATTACAAAAACAACTTTAAACGGCACCTTTTAAAACATCGGTTCTAAAGATTTTAAATGTGCTGATTGTGATTACGAGACCAATAACAAATACAACTACATCTTTTAACGCAAGTTTAATATTAATTTTGTAGTGTGTGGTTCGTAATAAGATGTAAATTATTCCTGTAGTAAATTTGTTATTACTCTAGTTCTTTATTTTTGCCGCTAGAGGCAATCCGAGTGTTATAGGTTTCTTTTACAATAGTTCTTTGCTTTGCCGGCCGAGATCGTGCAGGTGTTTTCCATGGTATTTTTAATCCCATACCGTTTCTGTCTGCCTACGCATTCGCTGTACTTCCTTTTCAGTGACGATTCTGCTGTCATTTTGTTACATTCAAATTATTCTTCTGCCATTACTGACCTAAGTGTCTACCTGGATAAGGGTTTTATAGTTTTGACTGTCACGATATATCGTTGGAGTGGTTTGTCTTTCTGTCTGCGACTGTGCTCCATTGAACCGCTTTAGGCGGAATTGTATTCGCACATAATCAGTTCGAGGTATGTACTTACCTCACAATTTCGTTATTAGGTTCTCATCGTTTTCCCTTTTGGAATGTCTTTACGGTCTGCACGGTACGTGAATGACATCCCATTTTTAACCGGACGTTACAATTGCTTTCGCAATATTTTATGTCCCACGCTATTCACTACCTCTCTTATTTGTTTGTTACAGATTGGTAGAAAGCGCTCTTCCTGAGTTCGAGAAGGCCGCTGCGACCTGTAGTTCGAAATGTATTTTTTTTACAATCGTTAAATGACACTATCAAACAAAGGTAGTAATTACAATTCGATTGTATCAAAAACCAGTATGTAATCAAGGAGTCGTCAAAAATGGCGTGCGCTTACAAATACAGTTTCGCATAACTTTTGATTCAGTGGTGAAATTGACAAAATACGAGACGTCTTCGAATCTAAGAAGCTAAATTAATAGGAAAAAGTGATTTCCCGAACATTTTTGGTTTGCAGCGTGGGGAAGAATAGTGGTGGTCGATGAACAACACCAACAAACGATCGCAAATAAAAAATTAAAAAATGTTAATGTCGGGGGTTAAATTCACGCCCAAAGTCTATAAGAAAATGCTTTTCCATTCTCTTATAGAATGTGGAGTTCAAAAGTTACAACCCTTTGAATTTTTTGTCGAAATTGGTTTTTTGCCCATAACTTTTGATTGAGACGTCTAAT